TGCCCCTTGTGTGTGTGATTTTCACAGTTCAGTAAAAAGGGAGATCAGGAGGGTGCCCTCCCACAATCAACACGGGCTTGGGGAAGGCGTTCTGTAGGATTTTTGGTAGGGTTTTTAAAGAAAGAGACGTTTTCAACACGTATCTGTTCAATTCACCAAACTTTCCAAATCTCATCAAAGTGCCAATTTCTTTTGTCACCAAATGTGTTCTGCCAGTGTTCCTACATAAAATCCCTTTTGATCCTTATATGCCAAGACAACACTATTTAACTTGGTAGCTACACTTGATCAGTATTTCAGAAGGGAAAAGAAATACTATAACCAATATCTGTGGACAGCTTATTAACAGTAGAAAATCTCAACAGGCCACATTAGGATCTAATTAACAACTTATGGCTAAACAACAGGTAAGCACATATCTTCATTACTAAAAGCAGCTCTCTGGAAATGTTCTTGTTTACAGCAGCTACTTCTTTTTTAGAGGTTTATCATTCTTCTTCTTCTTGAAACAATTTATCTTATTCTGCAAAAAATGCCATATGAGTTTGGAGATTTTTTTGTGTGTATGTTAACAGAAAATGATAAAACACTACTTCTGTCACCTGGTTCTCTTTCTTCTGAAAAAATCTCCTTAGTCAGACAGCAGACAGGCCTATCCCCTGACAAAGATCATTTGTATTTATTTATCCTGATAAAACAGAGAAGTATGTGATTATTCTAGACAGAGACCAATTTGGATCTCTACACTTTTTTCACTTACTGCATTTTTCCAAGACTGCATGTACCTTGGCAAGGGATTATTCCTTTATTATAACTGGTAAAATATTTTATGTCTTCTCATATGAAGCATGCAACACAAATAATCTTCACTTATTGTATAATAATAATATAGGCATGCTTTCTGGTATACTTCATTGACTAAATGGATTTTAAAAGGTAGATTTTGGGTTTCCTTAGTCTAAAAAATTCTTCATTTCTGAACTAAAATGCATTTTCAGAACATCATATCATTTCTTGTTTTATTGATGACTGTGCAAGTAGGCAATGATCTTCAATGTTAGCTCTTTGTACCATTTCTCTTCTGAAACATTAACTGATTGAAAAAATGATTTTTATTTTCAAAAGTAAATCAGAAGAAAATACAGCATTTATTTTCTTCAACATTATTTATTATTAATAAAAAGCTGCAGTAATTCAGAAGAATTATTATGGAGCATCCCAGTAAAAACCTGTCACTGGGAGAAAAGAGTAAATAAGAGTCTGTCCATCAAACCAGGTAAGCCTTCACTTTGCAGTGAAATGTACTCTACAACAGGTATGGATCAAGAGTCAGCGTTTGGAGCACAAACGGATGAAAATGTTTTTTATAAATCTTAATACTTAATCATTCCAATTTTGTATACTCTCCTCTGCAAAGGGAAGGACTTAGAAGTCAGCTTTAGCATATTTCTTCTAGCAGCTCTTGTGATGAATGAAATTTTGACAAATAATAAATATTGAATGTTTGTTGAAATTTCCAATCTTTGGAGATCATCATTAAAAGCCAGATTATACTACTATTTATTATTTAAGGGACATAATCACTGAATGCCTTAACTGTATTTAACATCTAAAATATGCAAGAAAATAATCATTGGTTTAAATAGGACCTATTTTAACTATGACTAACCAAGACAGTTACAGTGTTAATAATTCAATGTTGCTTTAAAAGCACTCTCTTATGATTGATTTATACAGACTGAAGTAGGCACATGTTTTATGCTACAGGTGGATGTGAGGTCGTAAGAAACCACTTTACAGTCTTCCCAGAAGTACAGTGTCAAAAAGGTCACCTGTGGTAAAGGATCTTTTGGATTAGTCTTTCAAATCAATGCATGAATTAAAGGCAATTTACATATAAATGGGCTAATACTCTGGCTTTGAAATTAGATGAATTTTTAAGAGATTTAAGAAACAGCAGAAAAGGTCAGTTAGGCATTAAGTATACATAATGCAATTTTTTAAAACTCTTTGTCTTGGAACTGCATGTTTCTGGTTTATTAATATTTTGTATTCATAGTCTGTTTTTTCTCAGAAAGGTGCTGCCAGCTATTAGTGAGCAACTGCAAAAACAATCCGTGCCAGAGTGAGCAGATTTCAGGTAAGCATGGTTTCAGACTTAGAGAGTGAAATTTTGTTAATATGAAAATACTCTGAAAGGATTTTTATTTTGATAAGGAAAAAACTAATAAGCTGTAATCAAAGTTAGTGAACTTTATTTTACAATGGACAATAAACAAAATTTTAGGCATACTTCCCATATGAAAGGCAGGAGTGAGGTTGAGCACTGGAAGGGAGGAAAGGGTGGGAGTGAGAAGAAGGTGGGTTTAACATTTGGTTTTATTTCTTATTATTTTGTTCTGACTTGATTGGTAATAAATTAAACTAATTTTGCCAAGTCAGGTCTCTTTTGCTGGGGATGGTAATTTGTGAGTGATCTCTTGACACACGAGCTTTTCATTCTATTTTCTCTCCCCTGTCCAGCTGAGCAGGGATATGATGGAGAGGCTTTGGTGTGCACCTGACATCCAGCCAGGGTCAACCTGCCACAATCCTACAGTATTTAATAATCCTGGGTCATTAATAAAACACTGACAAACCAGCATGTGGTACAGACATCAACAATGCTGTTCTATGAAAAGACACAAAATCATTTATAACTAAGTTCATAATCCTTCCATGCAGCTAATTTTAAATATTACAGAATTCTAAAGAAAATATTATTATCTAATCAACCTTGATGACAGTTTCCTTAGAAAGCCTGTTTTCTATCATACTGCACAGCACAAAACTGAATTTTATGTGATAATTACTAAATTGTTCCCTTCCCTTACAGGAAGGCAAAAGAAATCAACAGATGCTTGCAATGAGCCATGCAGCAAAACAGAATCCAAATTGAGAAAATTTTAAATTTTGAGTCAATTTCAGAAGATAAACAATGAAGTTGTATAGCTACAAATAGCATTCTGAAGATTCACATAGAAGATTCACAATAACTAACAAACTGTGGGTGGCTGTTAACAGTATTATTAAAACAATTAGTGAAGTGTTCAAGTAACCAGGGAGTGCCAAATTACTCCAGAGACTTTATCAGTATCAGACCAGGTTTACCCTATAGTAAAGAACACAAGCTTCTTAAGACTCAAGGCAGCTTAGCTTAAGGGGAAAAAAAATATTCTTAAACGATATCCAAGACAGTAAAAAAAGGGAAGTGCTTTCCAGGAATTTGATAAACAATTCATATCTTACAAGTACTGACCATAAAAGAACAATGGATACCATGATCTAGTTCCAATGAATGAATAGGAGAAACTCCTCATCAAAAGAGCTAACTGGCCCCTCACATATAAAGAATTTAAGAATGCCAAAAGGATGTGCAGCAACAGTTCTAACAAAGAATTTGAAGACTCTTTTTAGCCTCTTTTTATTCTCTTTTCAATTCTCTTTTCCATGGTGAATTTATTGCTACAGAACTCAAAATAGCTTAAACCAATTATAGATTTACCTTGATAAATTGCCATTCTGTGCAGATACTTTTAAAGCAGGTGTATGATCTTGTACAGCAATTCAGTTGATAAAAAAGCCAGATTGCTTTTGGTCTGTAACTGGCTTGTGCTAGTGCAGATTATGCCCATAAATGGGGTTACTTCTTTAGTTGTCTTTTACACAGACCCATTTTTTGAGGAAAAGCTATCCTAAAAAAATGAAAAAGACCATTTAATCCTGTACTATTGAGGGTTAAAATGCAATGATTACTTATTTATACAACTTTGAATGCTTTCACGTATCAAGATGCTGTTAGGCAGAGGAACATTATCTGTTGCACAGATACAAGACTGAGAGCACATGGAACAACACCTGTATTTTCAATCACTGTTTTAGGAGAAGAATGCAAAAAATAAAGATATAAAGACATCACTCAATCATGTAGGGGCTGGAAGATCTATGATAATAAAAGAACTCCTCAGAGGAATGAGATCTAACCCTTAGAAAAATAAATTAACAGCAGATTTTGCCAAGCTACACAAGAATTTTGTAAAAGAACAAAAGCTGAAAGAAAAATTGTGTCAAATATAACAACAAAGGGCACGAACTTAAGCTAAGGAAGGGTCATCTTCAAAGGGAATGTTGGAAGAAACGTTTTACACAGCGAGTGGTTACGAGGGAAAATAAACCGCTATGACAACCTTTGCAACAAGTGATATAAACTTTAAAGGGTGACAAGCATGGGAGAGACAGTTATTGTGCAAATATAGAAAGAGGGAGAGAGAGCTGTCTGGCCTTTTCAAAAATAGACTTTGCATCCATCCGTCTTTAAATCACCAGCATTTCAGCCCTATCTGCTGCCTCAGAAGTTCACTAAAAGAGAAAATTGACACCAAACTGAACTGAAGGATCTAACAAGAAGATCCTGACAGTTGAAATGGGTCTTAGAGATTCCATCTACAAATGTTATTGCCTGAACTTACTCATTTCAGGGAAGGAATAAATCTTGCCCCATCTATTTTAGAGCCTTCATTTCTCTTGTAATGAGTCTTCCACTTTAACAAGTTTTGATTCAATCATTTGTGTTTTATAAACCAAATGTACAATCTTAAGTGACTACTTATTAAAAATACACTAATGTCACATATTAAAAAACCTTGAAACTTTATCTTCTATTATCTGGATATCATTTTGAATCCCACATCTTTAAATGTCAGAAAAAAACCCCCTTTTTTAAAAACCATATTATGAAATATCAAGTTTTGAATACTACAGTTGAATATTACTTTTTAAGTTCAGCTATAGAATAGAAAAGGGAAACTTTCATAATGCAGACAAGCCTCTGGGGAAATCCAGGCTGTATTTGGAACTGTATTCTCAGGAAGGTTCAAAAAGGAATTTGACATCATCTTCATTTCACATTCAAGGGCACACATAGTTTCAAAAGTAAAAAACTCATCATAAAAAAATCTCACTGAAATAAATGAAATCAAGATGGCTCCAGATGCTCAGTTCTTCAGTGAAGTGATCAATAAAACAGCTAAAATTACAGGATTCCTTTAAAAATCAACTCCACTGTATTCTACCATATGCAAAACAGAAAAGAAGCTCCACTAACCACAGCCACCTGCTTGATTAAGAGGGAAACTACCTCTGGAATTAACATTTTTTTATTATTTGTGCTAACAGATTCAACCATGAGATTGATCTTGGCTTACCATCATTCAGCAAGGTTGCTAATAAGAACAATTTTTACCATAATTACTGTATTTTAGAGCACATAAAGAAGTTGAATAGTTCTTTAATGATTTTTGGTGACTTTCACCATAAAGAAAATATATTAGTTTAGCAGATGCCAGATCATGCAATGAATCATTAACAAGAAGGTGTTTTCTGAATACTTCCCAAATAAATAACAGCTGGTTTGTTCTCAGGAAGCAGTCACAAGCATCTCTTATCTAAGATACTAAACCAAAGTCAAACACATCATGTACTAAAATCTCAAACGTTCATTTATAACTTCTTTGTCTCAAAAGCAGCACACTATGTACACAGTCCTGAAAAGACCCAAAATTATACAATCCTTATTTTCAGATTTTAAAAAAAAAAATAGTTCACTAACAATTTTTGAACTTATTTAAATGGAAGAAAAATATATATTACTCCAGGTGTACCCTGGGGATCTGGTTATGAGGAACAGCACGTTTCTTATATGTCAAGAGAACTTTGAAGATCAAGATGGTGGAAGAGAATAATTTCAATGGATTACAAATTTTAGGCCACTGCATTTGAACAATCATATCCACACACCAAAAACAGAGACTAAAACCAACATGCTTGGCTATCTGGAATTTTCTGTATACTTTAGGCAAGCCAATCCTGATACTCCCTGCCTTACCTGCTGCTGCTCAGCTCACAGAGAAGCCCAGACCTTGCTCACCTGCAGTGTAAGGACAGTGCTCACAGTCATCAGTGTCACCTTGCTGCACCCTGGGGAAACACGTACGAGCTGTGCTTGCATCACCTTCCAGCCCCTTTGCACAAGAGAAATGGAATGGGGGCAAAAAAAAACCACAGCAAAAACTGGAGGGGAGAAACCCCCCCACTATTCTCAGCACTCTACTGTCCCTTTTTTATTCCTTTGAGGAGCAAGCTGTCTCGAACAGACTCAGTCTCTTTTTTTCTGCCTCCTTCTGACTCTAATTGTAAAGCTGGGATAGGGGAAGACACATCTATTTGTTCCTCTCTGTCACTAGAATGAAAATGTCTCCTACTATTTGGTCAGCTTTGAGTAACCCCCTGCTGGACAAGACCTCATGTCACTGGAGAAAAGCAGAGGTCATGGCAGGAAAGCAAGAAAAAGATTTATCTTAAAAGTGTAAAACTTAAAATTTTATTTCTCTATTGCAAGTGACATGGGTACAAAAGTAAAAAAATTCTCTGATATAGATAAGTAAGTAGAAATTCCTCAAATAAAGCACAAAATTAAAGAGCAAATTCTTTTCCCTATCACCAAAAAACAATAGTTACTTCCACAAAGAGTTAATAATGGCTATCCACAGCTTTATACAAGAGAAGAGGGATGAATATCACATATGTGATAGCTGCTGGTTAACAGTGAATAATTTAAAACTAATTTAGTAGTTATGTGTCTGCCAATACATCAATTGCTAGCATTGTTCGTTCCAGAGCTCAACTATTGCATAAGTAGCAATTTCAAAACAATTTTTTACAGAATGCAAATTAACAATTAATCACAATGTAGCCAGTGCTTTTCAAGTTTTTCAAGTTTTTTTCCTTTCACATTACATATTTAATAATGGGTTTTTTCTCTAAACTGACTGATGCTAAGCCTTTGTCTTCATAAAAATACAAATGTACTTTCTCGCAGCATGTACATTTTCTGCCAGCCAGTGAGTCAAACAAGCAAACATCCCTGCATGTGATCTAATTCATATTTTCACTTCTGGCAAGATAAACCCAGGTCAGGTCTGTATTAGCCATTTTACTCTGCAAAGGTGATCAAAGAACCTGGGAGCTGCAAGGTAGCCTGACTCAAGTTTTTTACTAACCTGTTCATATTGAGAAGATTATTGAGTTTCTGATCCATTTGCATGCTCAACTAGCCTTTTATTTCTTATCTAACCTCAAAGTTTGTTCAAATTGCAGTTCAGTTTCAGCTGTTCTGTTTATGCCTAAGGAAAAAAAATATTATCATGGTATTTCCCTTCTCTGCAATGATCATTTGTGTGCTAAACAACCTCAGTTCTTGGGAACCTGGATGCTGAGAAGTACTCAAGAAATGATAAACCAGGGGAGACTCCTCTTCAACTAGATCACCCCTATGTCAGCCAAGAAGTTTATTTACAGAGTGGGAATAGATCACACTTCTCCCCACCTCCAGGAGCTGAGACCACAGATGATTAAATTATGGTAAAGCCAAGGCTTTGTTACTTCAATATATTGTATGCCACCCACATACTCTGTCTTATGCTTTCTTGGATCATTTCCATTGCACTCCACTGCAATTTACCAAAACAAACCCACAAGGCTGTCAAAGAGGGGCACCATAACAACACAATGAAGCCTAAGTGTACAAATCTTCAGTGTACAAATGTACAAACCTCCACTTCCCAAATCAGAAGTATCATGGTAGTTCCTTATAAGAAGGGGAGATTTATAGTAAGATTTTTCTTTTAGCTTTAAAACCAGTGAGGTTTCCTCCCTGCAAAACTAACAGTTCAGTATTGAAAGGTTTTGATTTCATTAATTAATTTCTCTGGGGAATTTCTTTTAGAGTTACTGGCTCACTTGCACAATCACTTGGGGTTCCATTATTGCCACGTGCATTTGAATGGAAAAGACCGAAGGCTTCAATGTCTGGAGATATCCTGGCTTGATGAAACTTTAATTTCAGAATTCTCATAGGCACACCAGCTGCACAATTCAGCTCCCCATTAAATAACATTGGCTTAGTGAAGAATTAGAAGATGCAGAAGGCTACAAGCATGAAAGCAGAAGAGAGCAGGAGAACAACATATTTCAGCAGAAAGTCAATCCCTCTCCAGGGTTTAGGGTGTACAGCTGGGCACTCTGTTTACCAATGCCAAGCCTCTTGGCTTCATAAAATTGGCTCTTGTGATCGGATTAAAAAATTTTTGCAAGAGCTATAGAGGAATAGGCTCAGAGATCATGAAATAACCATCACCCCAGCCCTGCCTGCTGGGGGTTGGACTGTCCAGCCTCATTTCACATTCAAACAAAGAGCCTTATATGCAGTCTGTATCCTGAGTACCTAAAGCTGTTTTGCATTACTGGATCTATAATAATCCTTATTTTCTTTCCAAAACACTCTGATGAACAATATTGTGCTCCCAGTTCAAAGACAAGGCATGTAGTTTAAGAGACTCACTGTTATTGACCTGATTTGGGGTGGGTTTTTTTTCCCAAAGGAGTTTGAAGTCACTGTTTAAAATAAGGACTCAATGAATATGTGTCACATGGATTTTGGTATTCATTTCTTTGTTCATTGCTGCACAGCCTTGTAAAGAAATCACTAATGGGTCCTATTTGTGTTTCAGCAACCAGAGCACAATGTTTATATGAGAAATACACACATTAGGAGGTTGCAGGAAGCCTCTTCTATGCATTACTCAACCACCTGGAAGAAAATACAACTTGGAGAACTTTAATAGAAATTATTCAGTGGAGAAATGCAAGCATAAGTGTTTGCTGCGTGGGAAGAGATGTACTCTGCATGAGAGCCTTACTGAACTCTCAGAACAGAGCAGTTCACTTTGGGAGAACTCCATCGGTATTTGACTTTTTTTGTACAAAACCATCAAACCAAAATTAATTCAATAATCACTAATATTTAGAGCATCAATCATCTGCTATCTGTTGAAGAACCAGTTGCCAAATTGACAGTTTAGTAATAAGTATCATGATTGGAAATCATTACCACCAATATAATGTACATAAATTCTTTTATACAGCAAAACCTTGAAAAAACCTCATGTTTCTTTTATAAGAAGCTTCAATATTACCTCTTTTCATTCAGGTTTTCTTTTAAGCTTCACTCCAAATATTATGAATTCTAGGTTTTCATTAGATCTGCTTTAGAACGAGTCCCAACTCTATCCTTACAGATCACACAGCTAGAGCTAATCAGAATTCTGGCAGGGTTACATTAATTGACATGAACTTCCCACACCTATACAGTAAAACAATGCATGGTCTGAAAAGAAGGAAAAGCAAAGATATTTCTCATTCTTGCACACTGTTAGGAGCTCCTTGTTATGACCTATTTTAGTCACCCAAGTGTTTTAGCTCCCAAGCCTGAGAAAAAGGGTCCATACCATATAACTCAGTGCAGAGCATGATTAGAGTGATTTTGCAGTGTGTAAGGAAGGGACAATATGCCCCTATGCATTTCACCATCAATTACACTGGTGTGTTATAGGAGAATGGAGATTAACATTCCTGTCATGCACAAGATCTATGCAGCTGCCTCTTATTATTTGGTGAAGGTCATGAGTAAGGCCAAACCTATGACTGCATTCTAGCTAAGTAATTCAGCAGTTCCTTCTCCAAATGTGATTTGATAATGAGTTATTAGGAAATATGGGCCTGGGGTAAAAATATGCCAGTGTTTAGGAGACAAGATTCTGCAACAATCCACAGCTATTGCAAATTAGTGACATTAAGACTTCTCTCAGTGTAAGTAAAAAGCCACCATGAATAGAACTAACCTAATGTGGCATTTTGTCAGTCTACAGAGAGTTTAAAAACATTGGAAAGTGCTCTAAGTAGTACTTCTATTAAATTAATTCTATTTAATGATTCTATTAAATCCCTCTATCCAGGTGCCCACTCTGTGATTGCCAGTAACTTATCTGTTGTTTAGTTGCCAACCATATAATTATTGTCATCCAATAAAACCCTTTTGCTTTCATAGAAGTAGCATAAGCCTTTATAAAGAGGAAATACTTTGTTCCAGAAATGTAATTCTGTAAATTGGGATCAATTATTGAATCAGAAGAATGGAGAAATTCATACTTTGCTTTCTATTCTTCCAAAGCATCATTCTCAACAGTAAACAAAAAGCTAACAACAAAAAGCACAGGATTAGGTATTAGA